AGTCTCCGAGTTGTGGCGGCAGCAAATATTGCGGAGGGGAAGCTATTGTGATTCGTGAGGGAGATGAAACGGCAGCGTTTTGGTGTTTTGGGCTCACTCGTTTTGGATTGATCTGGGCCGTTCGTTTGGCAAGGTTGTGGAAAAAAAATATAAAAACAACATCAAAATTCAAAATGCTGAACCAGTGAATTGCAATTGCGAAATGAAAATGATAATCGACCAAATAATATATAATGTGGTTAATCCCACAAAAAACCCTAAACTTTTTAAAATATTCTATATAAAACATTCAACTTACAATCTCTCACAAAAAAATCCTTAATTTGGTAAAAACTTCCACAAAAATTACAATTTTACAATTTTCTTCCGTATAAAACTTTTAATTTTTTTTACCAAAAATTTTGCTGATGTGGCACGACGGATTGTTGATATGGCGCTGACTGAGTTGACACGTCAACGCCACACCATCATTTTAAAATTTTAAATATAAATTTCTAATTTTTTGTCAAATATATATACATATATATTTGTATATATATTAAGTTTGTAATTTAAAATTTTAAATATACAAATATTTTAATCAAATATATAAATTTACATATATAAATTCATATATATATATATTTGTGTATATATATTTTTATTAAATATTTTAATTTTTAAAATGATGACGTGACGTTGACGTATCAGCTCAGTCAGCGTCATGTCAACAATATATCGTGTCACGTCAGCAAAATTTTTGGTCAAACAAGTCAAAAATTTTACATGGAAGAAAATTGTAAATTTATAATTTTGGTAGAAATTTTTATCAAATTAAGGATTTTTTGTGGGATATTGCAAGTTCAGGGTTTTATATGAAATATTTAACAAGTTTGGATTTTTTTTGTGGGATTAGTCCTATGTAATGGTATTTAATTCGAATATGGTATAAAAATTAAATTATTATGATTTCATTAAAATTAAAAAACCGAACTAAATAAAACAATATCTAAAACAATTGAAAGTAATGTGAAAAATAAGTATTTTTATTCAAAACCGAAAGGAATTGAATATAAAAACCTAATAATTATAATATTTCTAAAACCGAAATAATCAAAACAGAACATAATCAAACCGAATCCAAACCGAAATAATCCCGCATATTAAAAACTAAAAAACATCACAATAAATTGGAAAATATGCCACTAAATAAACAAACAAGAAGCTAATGGCAAAGTAAAGTCGGCTTATGAATTATGATCAAAGATGTTTCAAAGATTAAAAGAGACAACTTTCACAATTGAAAGGAATCATAAATATCTTTTGGCATCTGAAACTGAACAGTCACTGGTTCTTCCTTGCATCTTTGAGTTGCCCCTTCTTACTGATCTGAAGGCATCTCTTCACGTTGAAAGCCTCGAACACAGTCTCGGGCAAGGCCGATATGACTCCGCCCATGAGTGAGTGGGGCCAGTAGGGAGTCACGCGTGGCTCGTACCCTACGAAGCCAAGAGCCGCCTTCGCATATCCCTCGGGGGATGCCACCATGAAAGAAGCTCTTCTGATCGATGTCATCTTCGTCGCAACGTACAATGGAACCTATGTCCATTTACATCGACAAAGATTCAGTTTTGCAAAAACCAGTTGACAAAGGCATTTTCAATGAAGATTCTGAAAACCCACTTTCAGACAAAAATTCTACTCCATTGCCAATGAAGTCGAAGATACTGTTCTTACCATTACCATCGACAAAGTTTCTGAAAACCCACTTTCAGACAAAGTCAAGATAATCCCCAAGAAGACAGGACATTAAGTTGCCTAATGCAAAAGTCTTCCTCTTACTCATCATTCGATCAGATCCTATTCCACTGTCAATGAAGATGCGGTTCTTACCATTGCCATCTACTAGCAAACTTGTCTCAAGATTTACTCCACAAAAAACCAGAAGTCTACTGCAAGAAAAACTGTACCTGGCATTGAACATCAATCCCACTCTTCTTATACTCCACATAGAGAGACTTTGAAAACTGGTCCACGTACCTGCAATTCCGCCATTTAAACGCTCTGAAGCAGTAGTAGTAAATGAAACAAAATCAATACAAACGAATTCACCGGTGAAAATTTCATACGTTTTGGCGCCGGCATAGACGGAGTAGAACGGATATGAAGGAATCAGAGCTGCAGCACCAGAACCCATGTTGATGATTGCGCCTCGCTTCCTCTGAAGCATATTGGGAAGAACAGCATGTGTAACCTTCGTTGTCCCTTCAACGTTGATTTTGATGAGATTTCTTAGCAACTCTTCGTCAACCTCGTGGAAATACCTCGCGTACGGGTACGAAATCCCGGCACTGTTAATCAGAATCCCGATGTCTAAACCCTCGATCGTTTCCTTGATCCGGTTGACACCCTCGTCGAGATCTCCGGCGAAATCCATGACCACGGTCTTGACCTGGGCTTTACTGTACTTGGATAGGATCGAATCTGAGACGTCTCTCAACTTGTCCGGATTCCGACCCACGAGTACGAGATTAAACCCCTTGTGGGCTAACTGAAAGGCGAAAGCTTTACCGATTCCGTCGGTGGGTCCGGTGACGATAGCCCAAGATCCATACTTTCTGAGATTCTTGGCGGGTCGGACGAAGTAGATGTAAACCCATCTGAGGATCGAGAAGATGAACTTGGAGACGGAGATGGAGCCAATAGCGAAGAGCGCGATGACCCAGATTGGCTGAGACTTTAAGGTTTCTGTGAAAGCGCAGAGCTCCATGAGAGGATTCAGAAGATGGGCTCTTTTCTTTTTTTCTCCCACGGATCCAGAAATGTCGGAGGAATTTAGGGTTCTTAAGGAAGAAGAAGAAGAATTGAAAACATGGGAAGAGATGGTGGTGGGTGAAGTAGATGAGCAGAAAACCGCCGGAATTAACTACTGACTCAATTGGTTTTGAATATCAAATCAGTAATTAAAGTTTCTGACTTTCTTTTTTTTTTAATTGAATTTAGCTGCGAATTAAATGATTCTGTGTGATTGTGTGTGTGTGTATATATATTACTAACTGGGAAAAACAAATCATGGAAACAATGTGCAACACGAGATATGCTCTCTAAGTGTCATACTCTTTTCTCTTTTAGCAATGGCAATGATGTAAGCCTTTAAATATCTTTAAAGTCATCATCTTTTACAGAATATAACGAATTTGATTTGAAAATATATTAGATATAATTTTTTAAAATAAATTAATCTTTTCAATGGAATTAAAAAATCAAATCAAAATAAATTTTTAATAAAAATTCGAAACTAAAAAGGCTATGCCTTTTATAAACTCCAGTGGAACCTTCCCAAAAGGCTGTCTTTTATAGCATTCAGACACATAAGAAAGGACATCCATTATTGAACAAACCCCAACACAAATTTCAAAACCAAACCATGTAAATATCTCTGAGTTCACCAAAGGGACTTTATACTTTTTGAGTTTTCTGAGTTTGGTTTCTGTCTTAAGATCAAGACAATGGAGGGGGATTGAGTGAAGCAAACTCAAGAAACTCCGTGTCATGTTCCAAAACCTTCATGTGTTCTTGTGAAAGAGTGATCCATGCTTCTACTCCTTCCCCATCTTTAGCATCTAGCAAAAGCATCAAGTTCTTGAAAATGGAAGTTCCTCTCCCTGTAACCCACACTGGTTTTCCCCATCCAAAATCTGCTTCATAGATTTGTAGCTTACACCAGCTATTGCTCGTGTACAGCTCCAAATCCTTTGTTCTTGAATATAGTTTCACCATCTCTTTCACAAACTCGAGAATGTTCATCGATGATTTGTCCCCTCCGGAGAATCTCTCGTTGCTTGTCGAGCTGAACTGTTCCTTCTTTTTCCTCAACTCACCAACCACTTCCATGATCTCTTCCATTTCACGTCGTTCGTTTTGCAGAATCATGAATGATAAGAGATTCCCGATTGTGTTTTCAGACAGGGAAGAAACCCATCTTCGTAGGTTTACCACTAACTGCAGAACCGATGTTTTCAGTGTTTCAGAACTCGATCTTGAAGCCTTGGTAGCACATCTCCATAAAAGCGCGGTCACAGCTTCAACACGGGTTGGATTCTTGACGAGGGCACTTGCAGTTCTGGTCTTGAGCTCTTTGATCTTGCCAGCATCGAACACAAACCTCTTTGTAACACAGATTGTTTGCTCAAAATCAACTTTACCCATCTCTTTGAAGGGAAGTACATGAGGTGCTGGGAAGTAATCGGATGCAGTGAACTCAGGAATCATGGTAATGCCTAAACCTCGTGTGGAGTCTGCCCATCCTCTGATAAACATCACCAATGAAGTTGCATCAGTGATCTTGTGAGAAGGGCAGACAGTGATGGACAATCCTCCACAACTGAAGAAATTAGCCTGGATAAGGAGCACAGGCCAAGAAACCGGTTTTGAAGAGTGAGCATCATCTGGGATGAGAAGTTCCAGTGATTCGGGAACCGGGTTTTGCAGAAAATCAGAGAGAAGGCAGTCCACTCGAGCTTCTACGAAAACTGCACCTTCGTCATTACAGTCTATGGAACAGCCATTGATTCTTCCGGCAAGAGGGTAGAAGATGGTTAAGGTGTCAGAGAGAGATTTCTTGAGCTTCAAGGATATCTCCTGTGAAGAAACAGGACACTTTTGATGATCTGCAGCATAAAAGAGAAGTGCTCCCGTGTAAAACGCAGAGCTGAGAATATCAGGAAGTGAAAGTTTGAGAGTTTTGAGATGATTAGGAGTTGGAGCAGATGGTTTGACGATTTCTCTGGATAAAGTCTCAACCTTTTTCTCCATTGCCACAAAATCTTTATCAGCACAGGTTACAGTCTGGTGGAATGAGACGACAGTTTAAATACTGTTGCTACCAAGACGGTCGGAGACTGCATCAATGGAGATTCTTAGAGATATCATATTGATTCCTGCATCATAAAAGGACAACCAGATCATTACGTTCATTTAAAGATTCAACATGGGGAAGAGCTCCAGATTCTTGGACAGAACCAGACAAAAGTTGCGCAGACATCTCTTTCAAATGCATGGTCTTGTCATAAAATCTGACATCAACCATTTTGACGTTCTTTATAATGGCAATATTACGTAAACACGGCCCCACTGCTTAATAATGTCTGAATTTCATGTGAAATTTACTTAAAAAAAATTTTGGGTGCCCTTTTGAGGCATAGTTCCAAAGAAACAAAGCAAATTGGATTTCTTCATAAGTTCCTTGCATATTTTGGAGGATTAACCAGAAACATCAAAAGCTACAGAACGGTGCAGTGATCTTCTTTGGCTGCAAATCCATAATTTGCAGATACTAATGTAGTTGAGGGCAAGAACAAAAACAGAGATGATAACATGAAAAAACACGAGAAAAAAAAACTGTTTAGTTCTTGATGCTAGATCGAGATACCTGGGTCTGGAGAAGCAGATTCAAGCAGCTTTCTGTCTTTTACTCAGGCAAATACATGTCTTCTTCTGTCAGAGTCAACCATGCTTCTATACATTTGTTTTTCCCTTGGGTCTATCAGTACTATGACGTCCTTGTCCTTGAACGCTGCTGTTGAATTCTTAAGCCCCCATACCGACTTCCCCCACCCTAAATCTGTCCCGTTACCCGTACAAGGACATTCTACACCAATGGATGCAAGCATAAACTGTCTTGATCGTCGCCACGGAATGCTGGGTTCAAGCTTGTCCCTGCATTTCAGATCGAGTTCTTCCTTCTTCTGCCTTAACTCGCTGACCCAACTCTCCAAAAGATACTTCAGGATCTTCATTTCTTACGGTGAAGCGACTTAGGAGATTTCCAACATTGTTTTCAGATGGGAAGGTTCGAGTTTTCCTTCGTACATCAACAGCTTGTAGCAGCAGTAACCGTCTTTACCGACAATCTCAACCTTCACCTCCATGGCAGGCACTTCTACCTCTACTTGTAAGCTTCTTGCCCTATATGCAAGTGGGACAAAAAGATTAAGAAAAAGGCTCAACTAGTTGGCTCCTTGGTTATGCAGTACCCAACAAGTTGTTCATGTCAGGAAGAAAACCCACAAGACAGAAAAAGAGATCAAACCAACGCAAGGCGAGGGGTTGATAAAGTGATGATGCAGTTCCATGTCTGTTTCTCCTTCGCCAGTTACTGAAAGATAAGACCTCTTAAACCGGTCTGAAAAAAAAGGTAAAAACACCATGAAAAACTCATATAAAGACAAGTTTAATCAAACTCGAACCAATGGTGAGACTCTCAAAGGGTGTATACCTGAGTCCTAGATGTGCCTCCTGATCATATTAAGAAACACCCGTATGTATACACGAAGGAGCTTGTCACATTTCATAATGTCGCCATAGCATGACACGAAACAAATGCATATACCCAAGGCTTAATGACTTATGCTAAGTCAAGAAATCAATCTGTATTTGGTTAATCTGACACAGGATAATCATGTTACATACATGGATAACACAAGATACATGTGAGATACAACTCAGTGATTTTGGAAGGATGCACAGCTAATAATACTTAATACAACTAAAACAGGGGAAGTCAATGGAAAAAACATTCACTAGTTGAGCCAAGAATGGAGAAAAGGGTTCAATGATGCATTTGCTGAGAGAACAGAAAGATAAATCAACTTGACAAAAACGAAAACCTCACACCATCCAAATGCAGTTCACGAAATTGTGTGAGAATCATGAAAGAGGGTACCTTGAAATGGGAGCTAATGGGCAGAGAGACAAATCATGATTCATGAACATACAGTATCCATGCATGTATGCGTATGCATATATGTTACAGAAGCGGAGAGACGATATGACTATGAAACCCTTCTCAAAACGTTATGAATATTCGTATGGCTATGCGCTCTCAGCAACAAAAGCAGCAAGATGATGTAGACATATAATATAATACATACTATCCAATGGAATACATGCAAAGTGACTGAATCACGACAAGACCGAGAAACTGCAGATAATATTTTGACCCTTTGTATGAACTTGCAAACTGACACCAGATTTACCAGCATAATCTCTTCGGCTCATATGCATAATGCAGCATTCACCAATGGTTTGACATGAGCACACATCATATGGATCCTCTTCGAGCACCAAAAATAACGGACTTCATCTCTATGGCAGAAGAGCATTCTCGATCACCAGAAGGAAGGCTAACAGAATGTACAAATTATTCCCTTCGTTGCTAGGTTAAGGAAGATTCGGCAGGAACCAAGCGAGGAATGAGAACTGCTTGACTGCTTGAAATCTTTGTTGCAGCCATCTCCTCGAGGCGCTTCCAGGTAGCTTCCTGTTTTCTCTTGATCTCCTTCGATTTCTCTTCATCTTCATGAAACTTGTGCAAACACTCCTCGAATAGCTCTAGGTCGAGGTCAGAAAAGATCTTGCGGACATTAAGTGTTAAGCTCCGGACTGCCTGATTCCAGTGACTGCTACTGTTTTTCTCCAAGGCCGGGAAGATAATGGGCAGTATTCCTTTATGATTTTGCCTGATCAAGTTCTCGATATGATCGTTATTCCACAGGTACAGAGCCCTTTCAGCCACCTGCAGAAACAGGAAATCAGAAACCCAAAATAGTATAACAAGAACAACAGCAGCACCTTAATCCCAAGTTTATTAGGGGTCAGCCGCATGAATTCTTGCTCTCCATTCATTTTGGTTTTGGGTTAAGTCCTCTGAAATTTGTAAAAACTTGAAATCATTACTAATCATTCGTTCCCATGTTCCTATGTTCTGTACAAATTTTATCAATCCTAGTTTTGTGTGAAATCGTGCGGTATAAAGAATATTTGAATACATGTAAAAGGTCCACACAGATAAACATTGATAAAACAAAGTCATGAGATGTTGGGGAAAAAAGGGCAAACCCATTACTAGCAAGCAATGTTAAAGAATGGAGGCCAAACAGAAGGCAGAAATTGCAAGTTGGCAACCTGAAAGTGGGAGCTGCTCAAGCAGCGAGCAATTTGGCGGAAGAGAGGAACCATACATCTCTGAAATTCCGGAGGCTGAGTTGCTTCTAACACTTCCTCCAGCTCATTAAGGAACATGACTTCCTTGGAACTGTTAGTAATAGGCCAATACTTCAGCAAGCCCCTTATAACTGTGTCTGAAAGCTTGCAGTCTTTCTCCACAAATTGTGTGATACAGTAAGATAACTGCTGGTGATACATGGGCAAGCATTTTGGTTTATGAAGGGGAATCAAGGCCCTGACAAGGAACAACTTGTGCTCTTCCTTGAGCGGAAGAGCAAACCCGTTAATTATGCTTCCCAAAACCTCCAAAAGCTCGGCAATCCCATTATGCTTTTCCGTCTCGAAGATAAACCTAAAGAAAATGTTGTTGACACCTTTTCTGATGAAGGGTCGATGCACCATAAACTTTCCATATACCCGGTGGAGGATTGTTTTGAGATACTCCCTCTCCCTTGGATCCTCAGAATCAAAAAGATCCAACAGTTTCATAACAAAGGAGTGGTCTATGTATCTCTTCGCCAATTTTGCATCTGTCTCAGGAGATGCTACAAATCTTAGAAGGAATTCATAGACAATTTGGAGGTGAGGCCATGCAGGATCCATAGATGGTTCCTCCTCTTCCAAGTCCAAGCCTTCCATGGCCTTGTTCTCACGGGGTTGCGGGCTAAGTGGCCTAAATAGATTGGCCGAAACCATCCTCACGGCTGCTTGCATCACAGTTTCACTAAACTTCCCATTACCCGAAGTTACATAATCCACAAGCTCGAGTAAAGTCTGCCGCTTGATATCCTTTTCCCTCCCATTCTTCGTTGGATCAGTGAAATCAAACACGGCACAACTCAGATTCAGTTTCGTTATGAACAAGTTCTGCTTTTCGGAGCTAGGAACATCCTTGAATCCGGGCAAGGCTTCGAGAGAAGCCAGACCCAGATCACCATTCTGTTTCTGGCTCACAACCTGGCCCTGACCCTGACCATGAACCAGACTTGGACCAGGCAATGACATACCATCCCCATTCACCGGCCTACTTCTCGAAACATCATTGTTTCTCGGGCTTGCGAGCTGGTTAGTAGAAGTAGCCATGGAGGCAGCAGCAAATTCACGATGATCCAAAGCCTTAGACGGCTTCTTCGGAAGCCTATTAAGTATCTTGTTGAACATTTCTCAATGAAACCGCGAGAAAAGAGTTGAGATTTTTCCAAGTAGAAAAAAAAAACAGAACTTTTACGAGTCGAATTGAGTTAGAGTTTGTTCAAGGAAAAACCCACGAAGGATCAGAAAACAAAGCCGAACCCCATGAAGGCCATTTTCACGCAACAGTACAGAAGCTAAGAACAACGACTGGAAAACGAGCTCAAACCCAAAAATCAGGCACGGGAGAAACCCTAGTAGCCATTTCAATAACCGATCCGAACAGATGGTCCCCAGAAATTTCAAAAGCTTCACCAACTGACGCACGAACTAGAGAACTCGATCGAATAGCAGGAATTACCCACTAACAATCCCGCGAAACAGAAGAAGGGGAAAAACCCAGATGGATCGGTAGAGAAGAAGGTGGGAAGAATTGAAGGAAGCGAGAGATTAGGTTAGGGCTCGAGAAGAAGAAAATGAGAAGACTTTCCTCCCTTGTTCTTCACTTTGTTACCAAAGGGCGAACACTCACTCAAGGAGCGATGAAAGTAAACCAAGCGACCCTCGTAAAAGCGGAACACGTAAGAGGGAATTCGATGAACAGTTGGTGTCGGTCCACTGATGGAGTTTTGGTCCAAGTCTCAGATGATATTCTCTGGACCGCCAAATCATATGGAAAAATTGGTATCCACATAACGTATAAAATGTTTGGGAAATGATACCCATCGGTTTTGGAAATTTGTTGTTTTTTAATTTTAAAAATGTTTACATTTACAAAATCCTATTTTTTTTATATCTCTATTTAAAAAAATGAATAAATTTGGAGATCCATGTTTTTTCAAACTAATAAAATGCGACAAAAAAATCCAAACTTTAACAAGTTAAGAGAGTCCCATTAAAAGGTTCGATTTTTTTTAATTGATTTTAAGTATCATTGATATTTCTTTTGTAATTTTGGATCAAACCCTAATCCTATATATATATACACACACTCTACCAACCAACAAAGAGCTGAGAAAGAAACTTTCTTTGATTCAGAATGTAATTGAATTACACAAGTTTTCATAAGTATACAACAAGAATGAATCTTATATAATATCAGTTAAAGAACCCAAAAAAAAAAAAGATGTTGTTTCAATCAATCAAATACCCTTTGATCGAAATCAACATTCACCTGAAAAACTCGACTTGGCCTGCAATTTCCTTACAGACAAGCTTTGCTTCTGCGGCCAAGCGTATGCTCTTACCAATGGCAAGCCCTGTCTGCCTGTGAGTAGATGTCGGCATAAACGATTTCGCCTCTTCCTTCTCTCCTAACAGCAAAGCCTCCCTTGCCGGAACCACGTTCTCCCACCAGAACTCGCGGAGAATCCCGTGGATTAGATCCCAATAGCCTCGATCCCTCGTTACCCGGAACATCGAGCTCCCGTTCGGTGTCCAGCAATACAAATCCACCCATTCCCTGTCCATTATCTCCATCTGACCCTGCACTTGAGGCATGTAATAGAATGGCATGGTTGACCATGGCGAGGCTCTCTCGGGTTTCCCTTTGTTATACGGGCATTTCACTTCTAGAATCCCGAGGCAATCAAGAACGCCATCTGGGGAAGCCCCGAGCCAGCGGAGTTGCTCTTTCGAGTGAATAGCAAATCCCATCGAGTTAACCTCCCGACCCGTGATGTTCTTGTACCTGTCTATAGCGTTTCCTTCGTTCAGAACTCCCCAGTCCATTGCAAACCGTTTGGAGGAATCCAAGATTTGTGATTCCGAGTCATATACTTTCTCGTGCCATAGCTCGTAACGACGGGTTCCTTTCCAGAAGCCGAGAGCTGTACTGAAGGTACTCGTGGTAAGCTTGTCTTTTCGTAAGGCAAACCATTCGTCCGATCTTTGGGGGGTATCGGATGGAGAGAGATTGCTTGAAACGACTAACGACGGAAGAGGAGGAGGATGAACAAAGAGTGAACTGCTCTGTAAAGCAGTGGAAAATGATTGGTCATTTCTCTTGATGAACCTTTTCCTCGATGAAGCCGACCTACTCCCTTTACGACGAACAGAGTGAAACCCGGGAATGCAGCATGTCCCAATAGCTGAAAGAATCATATTGTTGAAAGCTACTTTATTCGGCTTAAAGATCCTACAAAATCCACAGGCTGTGAACAGAAGTTAGATAAAAGTTCCACCGAGGAGGCATGTCGGAGGATATTCAGACAACCTTAGCCCGTATCCATAAATTGAAGCAGAAATTTTCGGACCAAATATACAAAAGTAACTTCCGAGAAACTCCATAACATTGCTCTGCAATCTATATTAACAGAGTTATAACGTTTTTCTCGTTATAGAACTGCTCCATTCCAAACATGATAGTGAACCTAAATCCTCGAAATGGATTGGAAATTAAGGCACAGAAATATGACCAGCTCAAGGGTGCTTTTTCTTCACCCGAAACGGATGAAAGAAAACAGTCTTTAGACTTCAGAAACATCAAACTAGATTGCAACTCCAAAAGGAAAAGATTCAAAACAATTATGCAGAAGCAGAAGGAAACAAACCCCATTCCCTTATGAACAAATGCAAGTTAGCCCAATCACTAAACACAAAGAACCCAAAAGGATGAAGAAGATGCATATAAAACTCCAATCCAAATGCGTGAAATACTAACAGACGATTCATGATCCAACCACCAACCCATATTTTCTACAAACCCACGAATTTTACCCAGCCAAAAAAAAGGTGAAACCTTTACCAAAATCTCTTAAAAACCTAGAATCTAATCAATCCAATGAGACACCCGACGACAACAATAATGATAAAAGTCTCTAAACCCTATTCAAATCCTCATAAATAACCCATAATGCAAAATGGGAACTTAACAAACAAACGAAAATCAGAATATAAAATGCAAATCGACAAAGGGATTCGATGAAATTTTACCCGAACCAGACCTGAAAGACAGAACTCCCATACGAGGAGGCGTTGACGACGAAGCGGCGGCGGCGGAGAAGAAGGCGGGAATAGAAGGCGTGGATTCGGAGGAAGATAACTGAGCTATCTTCAACATAATCAATTCACAGAGCTTCGATAGCAATTTAGGGTTCCGTACGAACCCTGCCAAAGACTTCGTCTTTGTCACAATGGACGAAAGAATGAAGACTGGCTGTCAGCGGATCACTGTTCAAAACGCCGTCGTTTAAGGATCTTACCAACACGAATCTAAAATGTTTTGTAGTAATTTAATTAGCTTTGAATTGGTTGTATAATACCATTTTAAAATTTTAATCACACTCTTTATTTCATAAAAAATCATTCAAAAAATCATTGATTTTTAGTATGATTCACATCAAATGCTAATTCTGCGATTAGATCTCCAACCCTCGTAATCTAAAACGGCTGAATATTATATAAACACTTCATAATTTTCAACAAACGTATTCATGTTTTAATTTGTATATATATCTTATCAAATCCGAGCAATTCTGATTCAACTGTAGTACCGAGTTGTTCACAAAAAATTGTTGAAAATTATGGAAAATTTACGTGATCAGAGGAATATATATATATATATATATATATGTATATAACATTTTTATTTCGGATTTTCATCGAAAAATTACAATATATATATATGTATATATATTGGCTATTTTTTTATAATATTTGTAGCAGAAAGGGGCTCGATCTGTGGTTGAGTGCACTTTGTTAATTGGCTATTGTTTTTAAAATACAATTAACAATAGGTATTTGTTAATTAACAATATATTGGCTATTGTTAATTGTATTGTTTTTAAAATACGGGTATTTATATTAGGTTTTAGCGATCTTAAGGAATTCTTTAATATTTTGAAATATTAATATTACGTATTGAATGTTTTAAATAGGTAATATATTCAAATGAAGAAAAAAAAAGGTAGAAAGTTATTTTGGTCGGTGGATTTAGTTAATTCATTGAGACATCCTCGACATATCTTGCGTGATGAGATCCGAAGATCTTGGATTGGATCTCTATATTTATCCTCCACACGTTTATTGCGTGATCACCTAAAAACAATGTTCGTTCTTACCAGGATTTTTTTTTTTTTTTGTTGTTGTTAAAGTACTTACCAGGAGCTTTGTAATGAGATACTTCATCCATGTCATTGATAAAAGGGGAAAACGAAATTATTATTACCTTTCTACAAATCAAAAACAAAATTTCCCTTTTTAAAAGATTAAAAAATTCACTTAAAATATCATTAAACTTTGCTAATTTTTGTATGCATTTATTACATTTGTTAAAATACATGCAAGTTCCAATCCACTTATACAAAATCTTCGAATTAGTTGGTTAACTTCAGACATTTGGTAACTTTTAGACATGCTTCTTGAATAGATAAAATTATGTAGGTCTTAAATGGTGCGAGTTTTTAAAATTTTTATAACAAAAATTCTCTCTTTATATATATATATATACTAGTCAATCTTTTATTTAAAAATTCGTCAAATTCATAACAAACCCAACTTTTAAAAAAAATATGGATGATTTTATAAAGGAAAGTCAAAAAACATTTATGTGGATTTATCATTTTACAAGCCAAAATTAGGAAACTATTGATTAAGTAAATATTTGCCGTAAAACACTCATTATTAATTAAGGTTATCTACTACAGAAAATCAGTTTTTCCTAAAATAAACAACGAGACATAGACCGGTAATGCATAATGTATTATCGAATACAAGTTCTACGTACGTACAGTGAATTTTTTTACTTTGAATTAAATCCCATTAGTAACTGAATTAATTTGTATTTATTTTTACGAAACTAAACTTAACGAATGTACATTGAATATAATACATTTTTAATAAAAACAATCCGATCAAATATAAATATTTATAAAAAAAAATCAAATAAAGAAATAAAAATATAACGGGAAATTGAATATTTCCGTACTTCCGGTTAGGGTCGGGAAGATAGAGAAAAAAAACTACAATGTCGAAAAAGCCCACGTAGAGACGATGAGAACATGTCTGTTGTAAGGGCAATACGGTAAATTTAGACGTAATATTTAGACATAAACAGCCGTATCCATCTCATGCTACGGGAAAATAGATGGGCGAAACGGAAAGCCGTTAGAATCTCACGCATTTGCTTCAAATTTGGAAACAAGGATTTTTTATTTTTTAAAAATAGAAAAAATATAAGCTGTACACGTTCATGTATCGGAGCAATATATAAAGCACGGTCTCAACGACGCCATTGTAGCGCCTCCTTCACCGCAGTTTGACAGTTTCTCGTGGTGAGGTTCTGTAAATTCTCCGCAGAATCTCTTTGCCCCTCACAGTCTGCTTGTCTCTGCTGGTGATCGGAGATCGCAAAAGTGACCGGAGAAGAAGAAGTATAAGAAGAGGACGAAGAAGAAGATGAGGCACAGTGAGCTGTCTGAGAGCGAAGCCGCCGCCGCGAAGCAGAAGAACATCGATGATTGGTTGCCGATCACGTCCTCCAGGGACGCCAAATGGTGGTACTCGGCGTTTCATAATGTCACGGCCATGGTCGGCGCCGGTGTCCTCAGCTTGCCTTACGCCATGTCCAACCTCGGATGGTTCTCTCTCTCTCTCTCTGGTTTTTCAATGTTCCGTGATTTGGATCAGATTTTGTTCGTGCCGGAGATCGTTTACGTAATTGCTATGTGTGGATCTCGTGTTTGATCCGTAATTCTCTCTTCTCACAGTACAGTTTCGATTAAAATCTGGGAAAAATTGGTATTTCGATCGACTCCAGATTTGAATTTTTCTGAATTTTGATTTCGATCACACCAACTCGTCCTGGTATTAGCCGTTTCATTTCGTTTCGCCGTACACAAACAAATAACGTTTTCACTGGTTGTGATGTTTTTTCGTTCTTCGGATTGAGAGATGAATTTGAAAGTCCCTATATGTAAGAATTTATGATCCAGCGATGAATTTGGACTAAAAATTGCATTTGTTCCATGACACAGGGGACCCGGAGTGACAATTATGATCATGTCGTGGGTGATCACGCTGTACACCCTGTGGCAGATGGTGGAGATGCACGAGATGGTTCCTGGGAAGAGATTTGACAGGTACCATGAACTCGGACAACATGCTTTCGGCGAGAAGCTCGGCCTCTGGATCGTCGTGCCTCAACAGCTCGTCGTGGAAGTCGGTGTCGACATCGTTTACATGGTCACGGGAGGGAAATCCTTGAAGAAAGTCCATGATCTCCTCTGCAAGGATTGCAAAGACATCAGATTAACATTCTGGATCATGATCTTTGCTTCCATCCACTTCGTTCTGGCTCACCTCCCCAATTTCAACTCCATCTCCGGTGTCTCGCTCGCTGCCGCGGTTATGTCCTTGACGTAAGCCTTCTTACAACATCACATCAGAGATTTAACATTTGAATGTTCATCTGTCATGACCTTGGTCTGCTTTTTTTCAGATACTCCACTGTCGCGTGGACGGCATCAGTGCACAAGGGGGTCCAGCCAGATGTTGATTACAGTTACAGAGCTTCGACCGAGACAGGAAAAGTGTTCAATTTCTTGAATGCTCTGGGGGATGTGGCCTTTGCTTATGCAGGACACAACGTTGTGTTGGAGATTCAGGCAACCATCCCTTCAACTCCGGAGACGCCGTCGAAGATTCCCATGTGGAGAGGAGTCGTCGTCGCTTACATCGTCGTCGCCATCTGCTACTTGCCTGTTGCGTTTATCGGATATTGGATGTTCGGAAATGCCGTCGATGACAACATCCTCATCACCTTGGAGAAGCCCACTTGGCTTATTGCTGCCGCTAACTTGTTCGTCGTCATCCATGTCATTGGAAGCTATCAGGTATACCATCGTTTCATTGATCATTCAGCAGCATTATTGTCTTTAGGAGTGAGTGTTAAAACCCGATACCCGCGGGTTTGTGCGTATCCATCTCAATCATGGGTACTCGAACCGCAGATACCCAGTCCAGCAAAATGTGGACGAGATGTTTCGATCATAAAACCCGTGGAACAAGACCCAAGGCCGGATATCCAAAAATTCGTTTGTTCATTCACATGATTGATTATTACTTGCAGATTTACGCGATGCCGGTCTTTGACATGTTGGAGACATTCTTGGTAAAGAAAATGGGATTCAACCCTTCATTCAAACTCAGATTTATCACCCGCACTCTATACGTTGGTAAGTTTAATTTCTCATATAGATACGAACAGTTCTTTCCTCCACATCCGACTGATCTTGGTTCCCATTCCGACCGACCACGCAGCTTTCACAATGTTCATCGGCATCTGCATCCCCTTCTTTGGCGGACTCCTCGGCTTCTTCGGTGGATTCGCCTTCGCTCCTACAACATATTACGTAAGTGTCCCTTCTTTATTTCGTTATATTACGTGAACCTCCCCCCCCGGAGGATATTCAGACAACCTTAGCCCGTATCCATAAATTGAAGCAGAAATTTTCGGACCAAATATACAAAAGTAACTTCCGAGAAACTCCATAACATTGCTCTGCAATCTATATTAACAGAGTTATAACGTTTTTCTCGTTATAGAACTGCTCCATTCCAAACATGATAGTGAACCTAAATCCTCGAAATGGATTGGAAATTAAGGCACAGAAATATGACCAGCTCAAGGGTGCTTTTTCTTCACCCGAAACGGATGAAAGAAAACAGTCTTTAGACTTCAGAAACATCAAACTAGATTGCAACTCCAAAAGGAAAAGATTCAAAACAATTATGCAGAAGCAGAAGGAAACAAACCCCATTCCCTTATGAACAAATGCAAGTTAGCCCAATCACTAAACACAAAGAACCCAAAAGGATGAAGAAGATGCATATAAAACTCCAATCCAAATGCGTGAAATACTAACAGACGATTCATGATCCAACCACCAACCCATATTTTCTACAAACCCACGAATTTTACCCAGCCAAAAAAAAGGTGAAACCTTTACCAAAATCTCTTAAAAACCTAGAATCTAATCAATCCAATGAGACACCCGACGACAACAATAATGATAAAAGTCTCTAAACCCTATTCAAATCCTCATAAATAACCCATAATGCAAAATGGGAAGCAGCTTCCATGCATCATGTGGCTCGCTATCAAGAAACCCAAGAGATTCGGTCTGTCTTGGACCGTTAACTGGGTATGTTCTTCCATACCATATACTTGCTTCACTATATATATATATATATAATTATATTAATGTTGAGGGCAAACAATATGATTTCTGCAGTTCTGCATAATAGTGGGAGTTCTATTGACGATCATATCTCCAATCGGTGGACTGAGAACAATCATCGTCTCTGCCAAGAACTATACATTCTTCTCGTAAAAAAAAAAAAGAAAAGAAATCGTTGGTCGCATATGGGAGAATGGGTGGAAAATAAATGTGTCACTGTTGAATGTCGATTTGTTTTCTATGTTGATGGTGGGGTGGGCGTCTTTTATTATTAATGTTATTATTATTACGCTCTGTCTGTCGGTTGATGAGTTTTAATGAGCTGATTACTTCTTGTCTGAACTCGCATAATATTTAATTATCATTCTCCTTCTCATCTCCATATCTCTCGTGGCCTTTGTCAGTTGTATTGTATGATATCAAATAAACCCCTCCTCCCAAAACAGACAGTATATGTCCAAAGAGTCGAGTCACGTGAGGCTAACCAACCAACCGAAATCTGGGGTGGGGTTTGAGTTGTACATTGGCAGACAGTAAATGTCCAAAATTGCAACGGCTCAACACGACCCCCGTGTCCGAATGGCACATGAAATGAAAGATTTTGCCAAAAGAGAAGCCCCGAGGATTCATTCGTGCGCCTCTTTTTACAACTCTCTCTCTCTCTCCCTCTCCTGCTACCATCATCTCATTTCAAAACTCTCTTCATACATTAAGCCATTTGCTCTATTTAAGCTCTCTCTTGGTACCGAATTTCATCCTTAATACTTTTGTAACGCAATTCAATGTAGCAAAGCTCTAAAGTTTGACCAAACAACTAATAATAGTAATAAATCATCAAAATGGTAGTGTGTCAAAACCCAAGAGCACCAAATATCCGATTCAGACAGAGACCTCTTTAATAAATTCAAAACCAACAAAAAAAAAGAACCCTCCACTCGTCTAACAAACACACACACATGTATGTGTATGTAATGCCTAAACTTGAAACTTGCTGCTAAGGATGTAAGCCAAAAAAAGGCTTACATGGAAATTCCACCGTCAATGGTGAACACCTGTAAAACCCAAAACCAACACTAATTATTATCCAAATCAGACAAAACAACAGAGAGAGAGAGACCAATGGAACTATTACTTGCAGCAGAGAGTCAGTCTAAAACCAGCAAAATCTTATTTAAAAGAAACAAGAAAGGAAGACAAGAGACAGTGGAGAGACCTGTCCTGTAATGTAGCCGGCTGCGGGATTGAGGGCCAAGAATTCTACAAGTCCAGCTACATCTTCTGGTCGTCCGTACCTCCCTGGACGCATCCGAATGTTTTTTATTACATAATATTCCAACCAGAAATAATGAATGAACTCATTGCACTTAGTAGGAGAATTATCCATTTACCTAACGGGATAGTCTGCAAGATTTTCTTCTCCATTTCTTCTCCAAGCTGAGCAGTCATGTCCGATGCAATGAATCCAGGAGCCACCACATTCACCTACACAACACCATCTCTTTCACAAACACAGGAGACAGAAGAAAAGAGTAACAGAAAATGGTGGGGAAAATGTTGGAAAAAAATGTACGTTTATGTTCCGGCTTGCATACTCCTTGGCAACGGTTTTGGTGAGACCGATGACTCCGGCCTTTGCAGCTGCGTAGTTTGCTTGGCCAATGTTACCAATGAGGCCGACCACGGATGATATGTTAACGATTCTTCCCTGCAATATCAGAATGCAGAGAATCGCACCACGTAAAGAAGAAAGTGCTTGAATGGATACCACTTTAATTCCCATATATACGGTTCTTAAAATTATCGCATGGGAATAACACCTCGCCGTATCAACAAGGACGGATTTAGGACAGATTTAGTTTACGTTGTTGACTTTTGATATGTTAAGATGTTTGATGACACATGGATGATTCTGAATGCATGTAGAAGGTTGAAGATAGTTATACCTTTTTCTTCTTCATCATGATCTTTGTTGCTGCCTACAAAAGCATAAATGAATGAATTTCAGTCTTCTGAGAATCGGTCGAAGTTTCTGTATTACATCGAAGGAATACAGACCTGAGTACATAGAAATACTCCAGTGAGATTCAAATCAATCACTTCCTGCCATTGAGATTTCTTCATTCGCATCATCAAGGTATCCCGAGTAATTCCTGAAAATATGCTGCTACATCAGGAAGGTTCCAGTTAAAATCCACAATACAGCAGGCGAGGAGTTAGTTACCCGCATTGTTAACCAAGACATCAATGGTTCCCCATGCATCAATAGCCTGCAGAAAACAAACCAATAAGCTGGTGTGATAGAGAAACAGAGGGAAATAATATAGTGTACAAATTGATCACTCAACAGTTTTCATCATTGATTCCACGTCATTCTCTTTTGACACATCACCGCCAAATGTAAGAGCCTGGCCACCATATGCTTCAATCTACAGGGTCGTAAGGAATTGATGTTAGAGCAGACACAAGGAAAAGAGGAGCTGGATTTGAGAAGCATCTGCCAAGAATAAACAGAATCTTAAAAGTCCAAGTAACACATTTGCCTCAAATTTCTATTATACTCTCATCGCTTGTTTTTGAAGCTGAGTACTAGTTCAAGTGTGACATTTCTTCTTGTATTGATAACAAGATCTTTCTGACATGCATAGAACATATACACCATTTGTTAGCCTCAAGCGAAAAAGACAAGCCGGAAACTATATAAAAACTCTGAAACAAAAACACAAGAACGCAAAATCTAAAATTTATATCAATTTTATGGGGAAACTGATGAGAAATCCCATAAACTTAGTGCAGCAACTTTCAAAGAGAATCAAATTCTAACACAGGGCATCATTCACCTCTTTAGAGACTTCTTCAGCCTCCTTTGATGACCTAGCATAATTTACCAAGACCTGCAACGGTAAAATGATGTTTATTTCTGGATCAGAAGTAATAAATAATCAATAGAGAATGTAGCTCAAAGTTTGTTTGCTTTCTTTCCCCTTGGTAGAACTGGAACACAACAGCAGAGGGCCAAGCAAAACATGAACAAGATGCAGAATTGCTTAAAGAGACAATACAGCGAACAAGATTCAAAATTTTTCTGACCCAATTTATATCTAAACCTAAATCGTTCATACGCATGCTTGAACATTATACTGATCATAACTAACAACTATGAAAAACACAAGATGCAAACTAAATGGAAGTAATACTAACCTTACAGCCGGCTTTCCCTAAGGACAGAGCAATTGCTTTACCAATCCCTCTAGAGGCTCCAGTCACAACCACCACTGGAGATTCCGCCTTTTGAACAGCTCCAGGTGTTGATTGCTCAGCAGTGGCAACCTGAGCTTTCACTACTGTGTTCCATAAGAAGATTATGGTCGTGTTAGTTCCATCTCTACAATATTCAGGAAAACTTGAAACATAATATCCAAAGAGGCAAGATTGTACATAAACAACAATTGATCGTCTCGGAACCACGAAGAACTCATTAAACGGATTTCATGTTTTTGTCGGAACCACAAAAGAACGCAACTAAACCCAAACTATCCAAAGAGGCAAAAGCGGTTCCAAATGAAACCCACGAAACGAGGCTACATCGAAGGGAACAGCGACAGTGCGAACTGGCCATGCCTAAACACCAAACGCCAATCAGAGAGAGATGATTACCGGAGGAAGCATACGATCGTCTCGATCCACATCGCAGTCCTCCTCCGGGACGAGCCAAGGACTGAAGCGGAGCCCATTGCCGCACCTGACAGATCTCCCGGTCGGCGAGCTTACCGGCCGACTTGAGTGCGACGATGCTGGACCCTGCGACGGTGGATGCCATAGAACCGAATGCTCCGGCGAGTTTGTCGATCGGCGGCGAAAATGGAAGAAGAGGAATCAGTGAATACGAGAGGGAAATATATTCACATAAAAAAGCGTCCTTTTCATTTATAAGGAAAGCGATACAAACGAAGTGCTCTGATCCGTTGGTGCGGAGAAGCTGAGGGGAAATACGGGGATTAGTCAGTTAATGTAAGAGGGTCCGATTTCTCATTTATTACGGTAATGCCACCAATGCCGAGGTGTGGCAAGATTGTAATATCGAGGACGTGGTGAGGCCTTTTCCGCGAAGATAATAGTTGATGGTAGATAAATTCTGAAATTAGGCCACTAACAAGCTGACCCACCGCAACTAAAACATGATCAATAATTTTTTTTAATTAAAATTCAAATATAAAAATATGATTCTGATTATAAGTGTTTTTATGTGAAAAAAGCCTATCATATGGATTAGAGAATATAAATGACTTTGGAGAAGGTTTTTGTTTGAAGATAATATATCCAAAAGTAAAACAATAATATATAATCCATACACTAATAAACGTGGAATTTTTTAATAGTATATATATATATATAATTGTTTTTAATCAAAGAGAAATGTATATTTCATTCACAAATAAATATTTCTGATATTTTATAAAATCATAAAACCAAAGGTCTTGCAAAAAAAACCGATATGGTGGGCCCAAAATCAAAGGGCTGGATTGGATCAGTATATGGGCCACTGGTCCACTATTATGTATCAACCCATGACTCTGTAATTACGTAGATATTCTTAATATTTTATTTACGTAATTTAAAAAAAGGAATAAATTAGCAATATCGGTGGAGAGAGAGAGAGCTCTGCTCTTTTTTTTTTTTTTTTTTTTTTGACAAAGAGAGCTCTGCTCTTGCTGCAGTTAAAGGAGCAAATGCTAGCAACCAGCATCAACCCTCATGCATACAACGGGAAAGTTCTCCCCTTTTCTCACATTTTCTCGGAAAACAGAGGATTTCTCGAGAAAATCCGCAGGGCCTGCATCCGTCTGAACCTCGCCTCTGGAAATTCTTGGTTTTGATGATTTTCTCCCGAGCTCTAGGAGCTACGAAATTGGCTGAAAAATCGTGTGTGTATATATATATGATTTAATTGTTTTTATCACGAAAATATTTGTTTAGAAATAATTCGATTTTTTTTAAATTTTTTTTTTGGATTCGAATACAAATAAATATTATTTGTACCTATTCAACTGGATTTGAAATGTAGCGAGAAAAACATCTCTCTCTCTCTAAAACAAAGTTTGGAACCATATAAACATTAAAGGAAGTTATTAATTCGTAATTTGTTGGGAAAATAATATTTTTCTACACGAATTTAGCAAAATGTGATATTTTTCTATATAAATTTTTAATTTGACAAATATCTACACCAAATTATCAAATTTTCCAAATCGATACACGAATTATCCAATTTAAGTGCAATTAATTATACCATCTGAAATTGTCCGTTAATGACCGACGTGGAAGACCATGTGGCGCCTGACGTGGCAAACCACGTGAAATTTTTTTGCCATATCAGCACGAATTTAAAAAAACGAAAAAAATAAATAAAAAATAAAAAATAAAAAAAATATATATATATATATATACATACATATATATATTCATATCTACATACAAATACAAATATAAACATATATACTCCTATATATAAATATATCTATATATACATACAAAATTAAAAATAAACACATATATATACATACATCTATACAAATATATATACATATACGTACATACAAATATATTTATATATGTGTATATATATATAAATATATTTGTATGTATGTATATATATATGTGTCTATTTTTAATTTTGTATATATATATATAGATATATTTATATATAAGAGTATATACGTTTATATTTGTATTTGTACGTAGATATAAATATATAAATATATATATATATGTATTTTTTATTTTATTTTATTTTATTTTTTCACTTTTTTTGAAAATTTGTGCTGACGTGACAAAAGTTTTCCACGTAGTCTGTCATGTCAGGCGCCACGAGGTCTTCCACATCAGCTATTAACGGATAATTTCGGATTGTATAGTTAATTGTATTTAAATTGGATAATTCGTATATCGATTTGAAAAATTTAATAATTTGATGTAGGTATTTGTCAAATTAAAAATTTGGGTAGAAAAATATCACATTTTACTAAATTTAGCAAAATGTGTAGAAAAATTATCATTTTCTCTAATTTGTTAGAACCAAGACAGATTTCTTAAATAATGTTATTTCATTGAATTTGAAAAAATAAAAATGTATTTAAAGGGATTTTATTGAACAAAAAACCATTCTACCCCCGGCCTATAATCTCTTTAAAAAAAGGTAATTTAAAAAGGGATTTAGTCCTGATTATATTTATATGTTTCAAAAAATAATTACAATTAAATAACTCGATGCGTAGGATTATAGAGTTTTTAATGAATAGAGAGAGAAAGGCCAAAAAAATACCAACAAAGGAAAGAGGAAGAAGAAGAATAAGAAGTTGAAAGGTCGACGCCATTGGAGACAACCAGAAGAGGGACAACAAAAAAACAGAGAAAGCAGAAAGAACTCACAAATCCAAAACTTGACCTAATGGATTCTCGTTCTCTCTGTGTCGTCTTCTTGGGCTTCGTCTAGAGGAGAGAGAGAGATCGCCGGATCTAAAATCGGAGGAGATCGGTCGGGTCGGACATGGAGGAATCGGCGACTTCATCTTCATCGTTGACCCCTTCATTTTCCATTTTTACGAATTACCCTCTGATTTCCGCCGTCGCAGCTTTCGCCATCGCTCAATCCATCAAATTCTTCACCTCCTGGTACGTCAAAATCCACCCCCACGCATGTATATTGTACGTATATGCGAAAGAGAGTGTTTGAGCGATCTGTGCTCGTCTTCTTAGGTACCTTGATCGGAATCACATTGTGCGTTTTGTCGTATGTGATTCTGCAATTCCGCTTTGTTTCTGATTCTGACTTTTGAGGATGATCCTTGTTTGCCATGTTCATGATTTTCTCTTCCGAACTATTATGTATCAACCCATGACTCTGTAATTACGTAGATATTCTTAATATTTTATTTACGTAATTTAAAAAAAGGAATAAATTAGCAATATCGGTGGAGAGAGAGAGAGCTCTGCTCTTTTTTTTTTTTTTTTTTTTTTGACAAAGAGAGCTCTGCTCTTGCTGCAGTTAAAGGAGCAAATGCTAGCAACCAGCATCAACCCTCATGCATACAACGGGAAAGCCATTACATGGTTTGTAGATTGATTGCGTCAGGTACAGGGAAAGAAGATGGGATCTGAAGCTGCTTGTCGGATCCGGTGGAATGCCTTCTGCGCATTCAGCAACAGTTACAGCTCTTGCAGTAGCCATTGGTTTACAAAATGGCTTTGGAGGATCACATTTCGCTTTAGCATTCATTATGGCATCCATTGTATGTAGATGAAACCCTTCTCCTCGTTTCCCATTGGTACTTTGCTTTCTAGTTTCAATGCGTGAAGAACAGTTGGGAAGATGAAGAAATTGGTAAAAAGAACTGAGAGTGATTTGGGCATGGCAGGTGATGTATGATGCAACTGGAGTAAGATTGCACGCAGGTCGCCAAGCCGAGGTCGAGTCTTTCTTCCTCGTTCATATTCTAATCAGGACTACCCATTTTGGGTTTTGTTCGGTTATCCTGAATCGAAATGAGTAGAAATGAAAAATTCATACGGCCGACCCCAAATAAACTTGGGTTTAAATGATGTTGATGTTGATGATATTTGGATTCAGATATTTCGGTTTTAAATACCATTCATTTTTCAAAGAAATTTTCGGTTTTTCGATTATTCGTTTATTAACCAAATTGGTCACCCCTACGTCTAACTTGTGTCTCCCGGCTTTCGCTTTTCCACAAATACTAGAAAAGATCGCAATTGAAGTTGATAAGGTATGGCTTCATTTCGATTTCCAGGTTCTGAATCAGATAGTATACCAACTTCCGGCGGAACATCCCTTGGCCGAGAGAAGACCGCTGCACGAACTTCTCGGCCATACCCCTCCACAGGTATATATGTAATATGGTAAAATGGATCAACGTTAATTATTGTGACCAATCCATGGCAAAGGAAGAGATTGATTGCCGGATTCCATCTTTATCTGGATGAATGTTTCGGTTCTTGAGTTCGTCTCGGTTTCGCTTCGTCAGGTCATAGCCGGTGGAATGCTTGGAACCGCGACAACGGTTATCGGATACTTAGTCGTCAGGTTTGCTTCTGGATAACGGACACTTTCTGGTTCGTCGCGTGATGGGAGACCTACACGAAACAGAACTGCCGTTACTTTGATAAAACAGTCAAGATAAGCAAATTATGTCTGGAAATTAGGGGTTTTTCCTTCACCCTTTTATATGGTTGTTTTGGTTTCGGTTCGAGTTCACTTCGTTGTATTTTCAAATTAAAAGATTATATCACTGCAAAAAATTAATACATTTTAATATATATTTTTGCCGTAAAACCCATTATAACTTCATGATTGAGCCATAATAGGTGCATATTTGCAGAAATGTCCGACCAAAAGTTATAGCGACCGGCCCACTTGCGCATATTTTTGGCCATAACTTACAATAAAGTGTCAAAAATAAAATATACACATAAAAAAAACTATATATAGTCGGAAGGTACATATAATTAAATAGGGTGGTATTATTATAATATCTGTAACTAAGCAGAATATAATTAGGAATTTTATTACACCTAAAATAAGGGTAAGACCAAAACGCGGTCCACAAAGCCAGGTGGCGTGTCAGTGGACACCACGTGACAGGGTCACATGAACCCGACCCGATCCGACCCGACCCCAAGCAGATCTCAGCCGTACACGTTTCATCTTATATAAATTTACCGTTACAAGTACAACTGTATTTTAAAAATACCGCTCTCGGGAACCGTGTTGAATGGCCTTTTAACTCTTTTGCGGACTCTTTTATCTGTCTGGAGATTCCTTCTTGTTTTTGTAACACAATATTTTTTTTATACAAAAAAACATGTTTGCTCTTATTATATTTGTTGGTCTGCCGCATTTCCCCACGTATACAATGATAATATTTGTTGATAATTCGAAAGTTTATCAGAATTTTGAAATAAAAATCAATTTTTTTATAGTACTTGACGCATCAAAATAATTCAAAACCAGTAGAACGTCTAAAGTTTTGATTTTTTTTTAATCAAAAGCTCGATTTCTTTCCTTATCACCACCCAGATCTGAAATTATCAATTTCATATGCAACTTCCTTTTTTTTTGGAATCGGTTGGTCTATTTTAATGCCATTCCCATAAATACACAACACAGAGAAGGGTTAGTGAGGTTTCATTACAAGTGATCATTCTGTTTTTGCAACAACCCTTCTGGCATTTATGTGTCTGCTGAATCTCCCTTCGTCGTCTTCTTCTCTCCCAATCCCAAGTGGCTCTTTGAGAGTGACCATTCTTTGAATTGTTTCTCCAGATTTTATTTTTCTCATCATCTTTATGTCCTTTCTCCTTCAATCTCTCCTTTGTTAGTTCCTTTCACTTATCCTTCTGTTTAGTTAATCTCTCTCTCTCTCTCTCTCTCTCTCTCTCCTTTTCCGGGTAGAATGTGAAGTTGTCTCCTTTGGTCTGTTTCCCTGGTCGAGTGCATGTGCAGCGTGAAGTCAAACCATTAGAAAACCGAGAAACGCAGAGCTGTTGAACTGATATCGGATTTCAGATTCCGGGTTTTGTCGGAAAATGAGATTTGGGTCGGAGGATAAGGCGATACGCTACGGATTAGGACCGTCGACGCCGGAGATTTCCAACGGTAATGGAGCAATCAGCTTAGAGTTCCGTAAAATCGGTTCGAACCGGACGCCGAACCACCACCGGTCGGCGATTGGAAAGCCGACGCCGTCGAAGTGGGACGATGCCCAGAAATGGCTCTCCGGTGTCGGATTGACCCACAAAAGTCATTGCTCCAAAAATAGCGCCAAACCCAGAAACTCAAACGCCGATGACCGGAGACTCATCGCATCTGCCTCACAGAGAGAGCGAGAAGAAGCCGACGAAAATGGAGCTTATGGGCCAATGGGAAGAGC